AGTCTTATAGCCATTAATTGTGCCTATAAGGTCATGTCAAGCGAAGTTGGAGATCAGGTATTAAACAAATCAAGAAGGGTTCTTTTATTTTTTTTTTTAATTATAACTAATTTTCGCGTTATGTTTTGTTATAGCTCCGTCAAAATTTGAGGAGATTGATTCATATATTTCGTAGCAACATCAATTTACCTTCAAATATGTTATTACCTTCCGATAGTGCGATTCAAAGTATCTTAACTCCGGGTAAGAACGTTTAATTTTCTTATTACGAAATTATTTTTATTTATTTAAATTTTCTAACTCAATTCCTTCCAGGTAATGATAACGCGGTTAGATTGAGTCGCGTAATTCAAGAAGCCGGATATAATGTAAAACCAATTCGTTCACCAACTGTTCCAAATGGTAAAGAACGTGTTAGAATTTGCATACATGCCGATAATACCGAAGAACAAATTCACGGAATTATAAATGTTATTGAAAATTATTTCAAAAATCAAAACGTTACCAATGAATTGAATAAGGATAATGACACCTTTACAAATAATTATCAAATTGCATCAAAACTTTAAAATAAGTAATATTTATTTATTTGTTATTTAATTTAATTATAAGTAAATTATCGTAATGTTAATAAAAAAAAAATAAAATAAAAAAAAAATTTTTTATTTATAAATTAATATAAAAAATCGCGATAAAAACGTAATATCCCAAATTAGACAAAGTTGCATGTGAAATGATCGACCAACTTGTAATCAATCAACAACACACACATCACTTAACAGAAAATTTCACTCTCTTTTTCCTTCAAAATTTGGTTTTATTCTCTTTTCATTTATAAATATCTTTGGTTTAATAAAATGTCACAAGAACAAGTTCACTCGGTCTTGTTTGACAGCGGAGCAACTTATGATTATGTTTCACCAGAGAAACTAGAGTTTTATGATACAAATTATGGGGATCCATCCTATACAGCAACATCGAATACTGCTTATTATTCTCCGCAAACCTCTCAATATCCTGGCTACCATCATGGTGGAAATACGGGTAGTTTTTGGAGTGCGTTCGGTACTGGAGGATTTGATGATGAGCCACCATTACTGGAAGGTAATTCAATAATTTTTGAAACCGCCATTTATTTATAAAATCGAATCTAAGTTCTGATCTTTGATATATATATATAATAGAACTTGGTATCAATTTCAGTCATATAAAAACTAAGGTAAATTTGACTCGTTAATTTACCAATTGAAAATAAGTTCATGGGAAATTCCTTATTAAAAATAAATTTTATTTTTTTTTCAATCATAGAGTTTGGCAGTTTTAAATCCTCTTAAAATTGCTGATAAGAATATAATGGATGATACAGATTTAGCAGGGCCACTTTTATTTTGTTTAGTATTTGGAGTTTCTTTATTGCTGGTATAGTGTCAAATTCATTTTTGTTCATTTTTTTTTTTGTTATAAAAATTAAAATTATATATGTAATAACTTCAGAACAGTAAAGTTCACTTTGGATATATTTATGGGGTTGCATTACTTGGTTGGGTATCAATTTATATGATATTAAATCTTATGAGTGAATCCGGTGTTGACGGTTATAGAACTGCAAGTGTATTGGGCTATTGTTTACTGCCTCTTGTTTTATTAAGTTGTGTTGGTGTTGCTTTTCCGTTAAGGTAGGAATTCTGAATTTTCTGATTTTCTTTTAGGAAGTCTCTTTCTTAAATATTAAAACGTTTCTCTTTTTTCTTTTGCAGCGGACCACCTGGGCTTGTTGCTTCAGCACTTGCAATTATTTGGTGTACATATTCTTCCTCTACGATGTTCGTAACAGTTTTACAAATGTCTGAACAACGTATTTTGGTCGCTTATCCCGTCGGTTTACTATATGCTTGTTTCGCTCTTATGACAATTTTTTAAATTGTCGATTAATTTTTATTAACTGTATATATTCATCATAGCAAAAGCATATCTTTCTAATATTAGTGACCAATATAGAATTCTTAAAAAAAAAGTTAATTTTTATTATTTTATTATTAATACTAAACACCATCTTTTGAAAAGAGTTAATTTATTAAATACGATTCAAATAAAAATGATGATTATTTTAATAAACAAAAACCATTTACCAATTTATCATAAAATTATTATCAATAGGTATAATCATAAAAATTTTATTGTTGAATGGCTAATATATTAAGAATCGGACCTTTTAATAAAGAACCTAGATTAAAAATTAATCATTTTATAATAAGGAAAAAAAAATTAAGAAATTAGAAGTTACCATTAATTATTGTTGTATTGCCTCATCTTCCTCTTCAGGGTCCACTGTTTTCTCAACCGCTTCCGTTTCTAAAATTTCTAACGTAGGGAATGAATAATAGGACTCAACTTGTGCTTCTTTTACCATTTGATATATCTTTGTTAATAATTCTTGTGAATCATATATCGATGAAGGTAATTGTGGACAAGATGTAAGAAAATGCTAATAAAAAAAATTAAAAATATAATTTTGTTATTAAATCAACCAAGCATATTCAAATCATCAAATACATAACGATTACCTTTTCTTCTTTAAATGCAATGTGAGCTTTTAATATTGATTGACACAATACAAATTTCACAAGGAATTGGCGAAGGAAATCATCTTGTAAAAACCTTTTTAATGGTTTTTCTACAAAAGCAAAAAGGGCTCAAAAGTTCAATTTCTTTATAATGAGTGAAATTCAATATAATAATAGATCTTACCAATATTAGATGAATTGAATAATTCTACAATCTTTAACTCGGCTTCTGAGACAAGATTTACACATTTTTCCCAAGTTTCTGAACTTATTTGTCCAAGGTCAGAAATAAAGGCAAACCCAAGAAGCGGCGCATGGAGAAACAAGGTGAAAAGGCTACCAATCTGAGGCGTGTCTATATAACATGTTTACGATTTGAATAAAAAAAAAAAATGGTATAATATGATACATGAATCCTGATTAAAATGTCAGAGTTACCAGTGATAGAAGAAGGATACTCCACAGGCGACATAAGACAAAGGAACGGTTGATTAAAAACTCTAGGGAAATCCTAAATAATATTTCAAAAAAAGAAATAAAAATCAATCTCTATCAAATCACGTGTAATAATGGCCATAAATAGAAATATACCGCAAAGGCAGTGCTATTATCACTGTCGATTATTAGGCATAATGGTTTACGGGAGAATGGCACTAAATCTGCCGGATGCAAACAATTAATTAATCCGCTACTATCCGAAGAGTCTGTTTTATCCGTAGGTTTGCGAGAACTTGTTGCAACACCACCATTATATCCTAGATTTAAAAAATATTATTAGATAGACTTTTCGAAATTTTACATTCACATTTTTCATGCTTACCATTACATGAGGTTTGTTCATTATTGCTTGAGCGTTTAGATCCGTCAGCAGAAATGTAAAGTAATAATGCGGAATTTTCATTAATTTCCTAACCAATACAATAGTGCATATATATATGTAAGAGATTTACCGAAAAATAAAAATAAAGATAGACCAATCAAACACATACCTTAAAAGCAGTAGCGATATATACTAATAACTGACTGAACGTCGGTCGATATAGAAGATATTTATGTGGATTAACTCTTCGCGACGCAGGTTTATCGGTAGAAGTATTTGCATTTTGTTCTTCAGCACTTGTATCATCTTTACTATTAACTCTTTCGTTTACCGTGGGAACTTCAGAACCTGGAGTCTTCGGAGGAGCAGATTTTAGAGGCGCCGGTTCACGTTCTTAAAATTCCAATTGCAAAGAAAAGCAATCGAATTAAAATAAGATTCAACATTAGTGACTAACATTAGGGAGAGACATATGTAATGCTCACCAAGTGACTGTAGTATGTGATACATGTCAAGGGTCAACTCCGAAAATTTGATTTGGTTTTGGTAATTGCCAACCAAAATCGCTTCCTGAAGTTTTAATTTTGGTGTACCATCTTTTTCAAGCCTAAGACTACGTTCAATTTGTAATCTACGTACCACCGATAAAAGATGACCTTCGGTTGATACTGGAACAAGCTTCTTTTCGGCCTAATAATATAATTTAATAAGCATCACATTAAAGTATGTACGTATGAAAATTCAACATTAACATTAATCTTTTAATATTTTTTACCTCCAAGAAATTTGCAATTTCATTAAGGACACCTTGCCATTCATTTGAATCAACAGGTTTAAAAATTTTTATATAGTCATCAACAAGACCACTCAATTCATCCATTAATTTTTGTACGATATCCCTGTTGTTCAACAGCAGACAAACAACAATAAATCGAGCATAATATCTCAATTTTTTGATCATTAATGCCGGGCTATATGTAAAGTATTAAACAACGTTTTTCATCAAGTATGAATGTATCAAATATAAAACTATCGAATAAAAAAATTTAATTGAAAAAAAATATATATATAGTTTAACAAACTTTTTAACGTCAAGGACATCTTTGAAGTAAGAACGTTCACGAATTGCCTCGTAAAATATGTATGATTCGTGAAGGTAATTTGTCTCACTTGTACGTAGGCTTTATAAATTTACGAATAGGTTAAGAGTTAGTCCATATTCTAAAGTTTCTTTAATTTAATAAGGAAGAGAACATACTAGTAATGATAATAAAGTTGGCCAATTTTCGAAGCAATTTCGCCAACTTCCCATCGTTTAAGACCATAATTTTCTTTAACTTCCAACACAAATCTACAAAATAGATGGTTAATGAATGAACCTTTCAGAAAGGTAAAAGTATCTAAAAATTAATAATCACCTATTCTGTTGCTGAAATTTCCATAACTAGAGACAAAATAGAAGATCATTAGACGCGCGTTACTTAATCTAAAAAATTGATCAGGCTCATAAGAAATACCTTTGTGTAAACTTCAAAAGTTCGTTGGAAATACGGCTGCCATTGACGACCACCGGTAGGTGGTAAATCCCTGCATATATCACGTTTCCCCTAAGCCATTCGTTATAAAAGGTCAAGAATTCTGCGTGTAGCGAATAGTCTTTACCTTAAACCTGCAAATAATTGCTGACTCTTCTCCAAAAGGTATTGAAATTCTTCAACAATTCTTTGGTTGTTCACAGCAGTAGTCGCCGGGTCAGTTTGAACTTTGTCCTCTTTCTCGTTATTGCTATTACTAGTGTTGGCGGTTGTAGTAACTTCCTCCATAACTACATCTTGTACAACTGCCTGGGTTGAAACAGCTGAGGGAGGTGGTGTCGTTGTTGTCTGTGGATCTTTTTGTGGTTCTTCCATTTTTCAGCTAAATAAGAAATCTATAATAAAAGTATTATCTATCGTCGGGTAAAAATAAGTGATCAAAATATAATGTTTCTTAGCGCGCATAACTGCGAGATATAAAAGTATACCATCATTTTTTTTTTGTGATATAGGTATTAGGCTTTGTAAAACAAATAAAAGTATAAATTTGGGAATTCGGTTAAAATCATTTATTCAAATTCATGAATTGACCAGAATTAAGGTGCGTTATGACACTATGAACATTACTGATTACTGATTTCCTTATTAGGAAGCCTGTTTACTAAACTCGGTAAACCATTTTCAAGAGTCTTTGAAGACCATAATGGAAATACACAAAACCTTACCTATCTGGATATTTCCGGAGGACCTAGTTTAAGTATTAAGAATTATCAATAAAACACGTAAACTTGCGGAAGAAGAAAACGTCAATTTCGCTAAAAGTTGGAGACCATGACTGGTTTCCATAATATATATAATATCACAAGCATGAAACGAATCTTAGTATGATTCTTTATTTCTTATAGTAATTCCCGTTCGTTTGAGGCTAAACAACCTACTTAATCCACGATCAATTTTGAAAATAAGGAGGTGCATCAAGAAATCTTAAAGATTGCTTGAAAATTGAATCTTTTGGCGGATTTACGGATTGAGACAGACTGACAGAGCATGTGTTGATTTAATTGAAATATTACCTGCAAATAACAGCTACAAATTCGAGTTTCCTTATCTCAAGTGTTAATAAAGCAAGGCATGTTTATCGTCGATCAACGAAACCTTAAAATAATTTTTGAAATGACAACTCGTGGCATCTTTGCATGCACAAACCTTTCGCAAGATGAAATAATATATTATTGAATTAAAAATATATGTACCTGCTTAATAATAAATTTTACACAAAAAAAAAAATATTGAATCAAGGAATTCAAGTAAAATAATAAACTTGGAACATGATTGGCACATACGGATTCTATCCGCCCTTTCGCGTGATTATCGGAAAGTGCTTTTATAAAAAGGATCCCATACGTACAACCAATGTAATTGATATTGTGTTACTGCTAATGGGATGATATAGTAAATCATATGATCCGTAATTCTACCAAAAATAATAATTTTAAATAAATCTCTGAAACGAGCAAACATCCTTAAAATTTTGTTATATAGACTAGGATAATTACATCATATTTCCCTGATGATTTACACGGATTTCCGAACTTTCGAATTATTTTCGACCTTATCGAAACCTGCCTTTTTGTTTCTCGATTTAACTATTTAAATAAATACGAATTCGTTAATCGCGTGATACTATGTCATTGTTTTTTTATCGAATTCGATTCAATGATTCAGGCTTTCTTTGCTTATTATATTTTGTGTAACATTATGTATTGTCGTGAAACATCAAGAACGTATATAAATTTTGTTATTTTGTTTAATCGTATCATCTGTTTATCAAATATTCAAGCCAACTTATTGGAAAAAAAAAAAAAAAAAGGGAAAAAAAAAAGTTTTATTTTGTTTGAACAAGAACACTCTGAAATCAATTATTTAAAAAAAAACTAATCTTAATATTATCATACGAAAAATGGGCTCACGGGTATATAAATAATAATTTCTTAAATTTTTTTTTTTTTTATTTATCTCATAATATTAGTTTCGCTTACTTTAATATTTTTTTAAAAATAAAACTTATACCAAAAGCAAACTACCAATGCGTTCTCAGAACAAGGTAGTTCGCATGACATAAATAGGAGAACAAGGGCCACTATCAGAGCACAGAAAAGAAGTCAAGATCCAATGGAACCAAAGCAAGAAGTATATGGTTGGTCGAATTATACAGAATTTAAATAATTACAATGAATTTAAAACCGATTTACAATGATCGCTTAACATAACTTTTTTATTTACAGGACTGCCATCGTCAAGTCAGTCACAAAATTTAATACAGTTGGATATTGAAAGTTTTGGCACAACTTCAAGAGCTGGAAGTACTTCGACTCGATCACGACCGTTACGTCGAAATAAAAGAACGCAGGACAGAGCAGTATTAGATGGTTAGTGTTAACCTTCTTGTAATAGATACATGATTCGTTTTATAGATATTAATTAACCAATTTATTTTTCTTCCCCTAATATTAGAAACGGAACCGTCTACTTCTGCTCCCCAAATAATGTCAAGACCTAATAAGCGTAGAGCAATAAGGGCTGAAGAAGGAGGTATGTATAAATTTCGAATTACATATTAGTTAGAAATTTTTTTATTTAATTTCATTTCCAATATAAATCATGTGTTGAATCTTTTTAGCCTCTCGACAAGAAGATTATCCGATAATCTTTCTGCCTCCTCTAAGAAACGATTCACCACATCCTACCGTCCGACGTACCGCGGAAACGGGCTCCATCCAGGATTCTTCTTCATACTTACAGTCGTTTAATTTGCCTAATACAGGAGACAATGGTGGAGTAACTTTGCCTCCTATTTCTTTGCCGCAAGAAAATTCTCCACATGGTGGAATAACCTTACCTCCCATTCGCTCAGTATTTTCCATTGGTCTTGAACGTTCTAGGACTCCACGTACTCTTTCCCCCGATATAGAAGTGATAGACCTCTCCTCTCCACCTTACCCCGGCAATCGTACTGCCGACCCGTATCCAAGCAACATTGTAGATTTAACGTCCTCTCCGAACACACACTCACCAACCGTTAACGCACCTAAAACGGAAATAATTGTCATTGACGATGATTCAGAAACTCCTACTTCCGTAGGTTCCTCTTTACCCTCAAGAGGTCTACAACACCCTACTTCCACAGGTTCCCTTTTACCCTCAAGAGTTTTTCAATTACCTACCTCCACAGGTTCCCTTTTACCCTCAAGAGGTCTTCAACTCAAGTGTGCGATCTGTCTTGACCATCCAAAAGATGTTTCTGCAACGTCTTGTGGTCATATATTTTGTCTTAATTGCATCACAACTGCTTTAAAAACTCAAAAAGTGTGCTCCCTTTGCAGAAATCCATTATCAAAAAAACAGATCAAGCGCTTGGAGTTCAAGATTTCGTTGTAAGAATTCATTATCAAAAAGTCTTTGGACGTGAGTCTTTTCTCACATTCATTTATTATCTTTCATTCTGCATTCTGAGTTTTTAAGATCTTTATCCTGTCACCTACATTTGATATTTTTTTTTATTTGCCGAGAAAAGTTAACGAACCGGTTGTTTTTTTTTTTTTTTTTTTTATATATATTCGTGAGCTTTTCGTTTATTTATTAAGTTTATTTTGTTTTTAAAAAATTGGAATTTAACTGGTGATGATCATCAACATGCACATTTGTCCTATAGAAATACTCTATAGTGTTGGAAAAAAAAAAAAATTCAAATCAAATCAAATCAATCAAATAAATATAGCTTTAAACTATGGTTTTTTGTAAGTTTTTTTTTGTTTTTGTTAGTTAAACAAAACAAGAGACTAATGTACGCTAGAATTACATCAATTAATTCAAAAATGATTAAATTTAGATTACAAGCTAAAAGCAAAAGTAGATATAGTAATATATTTTAATCACAAAAAAAAAAATTTTGTATATACAATAGATCAAAAATAATTCTTTTATTTATATTATTAAAAACAACAAAAAATCAATTTTCACGTGATTTATCATGTTCACGTGTATTAATTCTCGGTGTCGAAAAAAAAATTTTTATTTTGGTAATTTTGTCAATAAATTTTATTTAAAAAAGATGCCTAAAGAAAAGAAAGAACCTAAAACTAAAAAAGAAAAGAAAGAAAAAAAAGAAAAGTCCCATAAAGAAAAAAAGGAAAAGCATTCTTCAAAACATAAAGAGAGTAAAGGGAGTAAAAAGAGTATTGTAAAAGATGATAATGCAATGGAGGTTGATCTACCTGTAGCCAAAATAGCCAAAGTTGAAACTCCAGTGGAAACTAAATCAGACAAAGGTTTAATTGTACATTATGACTTGAGAGCTCTAATACCTTTTGCACAACCCTTGGCCTCTGAGGAATTTACTCTGGAGATAATGAAAACGGTCAGACAAGGTAAAATGAAAAGACGCTATTGAAAGATTATTCTAGAATATTCATGGGACCTTTGCTTACGCGTTTGCAAATATTCAATCGATTAGCTGCAAAAAAACGGCAATGTAGGCGTGGTGTAAAGGAAACTGTCAAGGCTATACGTAAACAGCAGAAAGGGTGATTGATTATTTTTTGTTCAATCAATTTATTCGTTCTATTCTTACCACGTTTCTAATTAGGATTTTTTAATTTCATTAATAATAAAACAGCTTTGTCGTGATGGCGGGAGATGTTTCCCCAATGGACGTGATTTCACATATCCCAGTTTTATGTGAGGATAATGAAATACCTTTTGTTTTCATTCCATCTCGAGCTGATCTTGGATTCTCATGTGCAACGAAACGTCCAACAAGTGTTATTATGGTTGTCCCTGATCGTAAAACTGAAGATAATAACGAATATAACGAACAATATGAAACGTGTCTTACAAAAGTTAAGGAATTGTAAGTATCTTATTGGCATCTCATGCCTTAACTTTGTATGTAAATATCAAAACTTC